TTTATATATAATATGTGCCACTTTTACAATATTTAATAATTCCAAACCCATTTTGTTATATATATATATATATATATATATATATATATATATATGTGCATGCGCGCGTTGTGTCTGATCTCTGCGTAGCACACACACACACCTGACAAAAAGAGTTTGAAATCATTAAATTTTTCATATAAAATCTTTTTCATATAAAATGTGCGAAGTTCTTTATATCGACTAGAATAATTACATAAGATTATCGATATTATTATTTTAAAATATCAGTAATGTTATGATAAATATATTACTAATATAATAAAAATAAATAATTATATTGATATTTATATTTATGTTAATAATATAATAATAATAATATTTATATATAATAATAATAATAATAATAATAATAATAATAATATAATAATAATAATAATAATATTTAGTTATATTTATATTAATAATAATAATAATAATAATAATAAATGCCATAGTGTTTATATACAATATAAATAATACGAAATAACAGTTATTAATTATAAATCTTATCACATATTTAGATACCTTTATCGACAATAAGTAAAATAATTAATTATAGGCATTAATATAGTCAGAATCATTATATAATATAGTCAGAATCATATATAATATAATTAAAAAAATATTAAAAATAATTTTTATTTTACACGAAAGATAACAAAAGAAATAGATATTTAAAATTATATCAATTTCATGATTTTATATTATTTATAATATATTAGACATAAATGAATACAAATCGTTTGGCAGCAACAAATATAACGATTGGACAGAAAAGAACGAATAGATACCGAGAATTCAATTCTTTGGATACAAAGCTTCTAGGACAAGACGAATCATTAACCGAACGATTCATCATCCTGTCGAGAAACACTAATTTAAAGATTTAAAGAAAAAATTTACAGAGGATCGTGGCCCATATGATTTGTTTGCGTAACACATCGTGCATACATACTTCGGTAGTAATTACGACATTTTCGCCAGTCGTTAACGATGCACAGTCATTGACATTCAACCCGAACAAATGCTGGGCGGCGGATAGATCAGCGAAAGTTCTACGATTATATCGCAAGTCCGGCAATTAAATACTAATCAAATAGCATTAAGTAATAATTAATTAATCATAAGTTATATTTTGATTAACTATTTAATAGATATAATGTCATAATTTATACGCTATAATTTTAATTACTTGTGTATCAAAATCAATTTCTTAAAACTACATTATTAGCAATTAGTAGTATTACTATAATTATTACAGTACTTTGATAGTATCTCTTCATAATTTAATAATGTAATTTTAATTAATTATATTTTTAGTATATATTTTTAATATATTAATGTCTCAAAATTTATTTAATATTCTGGGAAGCAAAAGATTTATTCTTAATTATATTACATTTATAATACAAAATTGTAATATACGAATACATATTTATAGAACTGACAAGAACAAAAAAATATCAATTCTATTATTTTTCATAAAGTGAAAGTTTTCTATGTAAGGTTTTTTTATTTATGCAGTTAATACTTGAGAGAAAATGCGTTTTCATTATCCTATGCATTAAATGCTGATGAGTGTTGCGAGAATAAGAGTGTAAGTTCTTGTATGACATATAGAGTTGTGCCATTAACATAAAGAATCATTATTATGTCGCATTTGTAATATTATAGCGTTATGTATTGTAATATTATAATCTATATGTAAATATCATATGATCGTAATATTACTTTGTCATCAAATCTGTCAGATCACATTTTTATGCCATTATTTCGGAAAATAAAACTAAGCTAAAAACTTTCGGAATTATATCATTATAAAAAAGATATATTACCAATAATATAAATTAACAAAATACGTATTATGATATTGTAAAAAAATGTATATTTGATATACATACTAAATGGCAATAATTAATTATACAAAGAAGATGTTATTTAAATTCTAATTATGCGCTTATTTTTAATCTCTACACAATTGATTTACATAAAAATCTGGATTATGTATTCTGTTCATGTAAAATTATTGCATAATAATTTTGCTACTGTTCGATAATTACTTGTTAAATGTTGAAGTTATATTTAATTAAGAGAGATTATCACGTGAAAGTGTTAATTAGCAAATGATTCTATTTCTAGTAGAAAGTTATGCTGTACAAGTTAACTTAAAGGAGAGTTAAAATTTATTAACAATAATATTGAAATAATAATATTATTGAAATATAATATTGAAAACAATAATATAGAAATATATATATATATATATATATATATATATATACACACACACACACAAATATTGCATAATTTTAAACTTTAATTTTAATACGAATTTAATACGAATTTAATTTTAAAACGAATTTTGTATTGAATTATTAATTATCTTTTTGTAAATGTATAAAATAAGAGTTACAATATAAGTATTATGATATTACTATTATACACTTTTTTATAAAATATATGGAAAATATGAGTAAGAGAAATGAATGTTATTATATTAAATCTAAATACTATCGTCAAAAGATTATCATTTATAAGGTAAAAATTATCGTGTATTTCGAATCTGATTAATTTGCATAAAGCATATTAAATCATGAATCAGTTAGATAAGCATATTAAATCATGAATCAGTAGAGATTTATATACCGTAACTCGCTTTATATCTAAAGTCGAACAGAGAAGACGCGGTGTTATATTACGCCATGTGATTCTAGAGACTTCTAATAGCATATGAGCTAAACAGTTTGATGCGTTATTTTTAATGGGAAAAATTTATGCGATTGACCTTTGTTAGTCGAAAACGTAACTTTATTACATGATGTGAGGAACGTTTCTATTTTAATTCAAGTATTAAGCAAGAATAGACATTTTATTAATTCGATAAGGAGAATTTGTAGAAACATAACGATTACATAAATTGCTAATAAGTAATCCAATGATATTGTGTCTGTATCATTGAGATCGCAAGATCGTTTTAAATTTATTTACAAATTAGCTAATATTATGAAATATTTTACAAAAAAGGAAAAATGAATTTTGATTTCAAAAGCATTTTCGTAAAATACCTCCTAGCATTTGCGAAGCAAAGCGAAGAAACAATAGACAAAAACCATTTCTATAAGAAATAAATATGAATATAAATTTGACGAATTAAATCTAAATAATCTCAGAGTATTTTTTAAAAATTTATTCCATAAAAAATATATCGTATAAATATATCATTTGTATATCTAGTAAATTTGATATGTAATTAACTAATCAAATGAGCTATTGCTTTTAAAACATACAGTATCGTACAAAGTCGCACTTATAAAATATATTTATAGAATTAGGAAAAAATCCTTTTAAAATTTCTATCTATTAATTAAATTTTTATAAGCAATTTTTTAATCTAATTTATAAATCTGTATTTTATAAAATTTAGTATAAAAGAAAAAATTTTTTTAATATAAAAGATATAGAAATTTTAATAAATATTTAAATTCGAGAAAAATTTATAATTTAACCAAATTTTAATATACGATAATATTTTGTGATTTAATTTTAATATTTGTCTTAAATTTTAAATTTAATTGTAAGTCTGATTACTACGTTCCTTTTTCACTTATATATAATAATAATTTCATTAAACAATTTTTTTATAAGAATGATTTTTTAGTAAAATAGACAATTATTTTTGAAAAAATGTGTTAGATGGAAAGAATTTCAAGTTAATTTCAACATAATTCAAGTTAAGATGATCATAACCCTTGACATTTGCAACTACTGGAAAAGCTAGGTTCTTTACCATTAATTCTCACGTGGGAAGATTGTGCAGGTTTATGTAAATACCAAACGGTTTACTAAAAAGAATAGTATTTTACAAAAAAGAAAGTGCAAACTTTGAGAAACGAAAATAAAAGACATGATAACAGTCGGGCGTTCGCCATTGTCGCAAGAGTGTATACGAAATAAATTATCGCCGAGATGCATTACCATCGTTACATCCGTTGCGTTCGATACTTTCTACCGCGAATTCTTTGCGTTATCGTGGTACAACGGAATCGCGACCCTAAAATACATAAGACTATCTACATTCACATAAGAAATTTGCACAATGAGACTGTATAAAGTGGCAATATTTCTAAAATTCTTTTTATAAAGATTATAATCAAATTTAATATTAAAAAGTATTTCTGAGAAAAAATTTTGGATTAAGTTTCAGCAAATAAAGATTTGATAATAGAATTTGATAATAGAATTTGATAATAGAAAGGATAATAGAATTTTACTTTATATTAAGAAATTTTTAAATTTATAATTTAGTTAATATATATTAAAGCGCAAGTTTGTATTTTATAATCTTTACTATATATATATTTAATCATATATATTATTTAATCAATGAAAATCTACAAATTTTGTAAATAAATGAATGGTGCTAATAATATATGACAAATACAAATCAATAATATTTTATATATACTATTTTATATATACTATTTTATTATTGTTATGTAATTTATCTATAAATTTATATTTGTAACATTCTTTTTGTTGTGAAAATTTATAACTTTTATTATTTTTCTAAATATAGCAACACATGAAAACAAAATTGTCATCGCTTCTATTACTTTACTTTAACTTTCGCGTTTTCATTTGTAGAATCAGTTGCAACAATATATATATATATATATATATATATATATATATATATATATATATACCTTCTGCATGAGAAAAAACCACACGTATAAGAATTTATAAGAATCTCAGAACATATCGACATATAAGATTGATTAAGATTTGTGCATTGTTTAACTTCTCGATATCAAATAACGAATAATTGAGTCTGCATAAGTTCACTTTATCTCACTTTTCGACAGAAAAAGGATTCACAACCCTTTCGAATTCACCGCTTATCTCAGTTAATTAATAGTTCACGTCTATTTTCTCTCATATCACTTTATATTCACGATTCATGGTGCACTGCTACTTACCATGATTTTATCGCCGTGCTAATCACCGAGGAAGATTAAAAAAAGGGACACTTCAAAACGAATACATGCTTCGCTCAAGAGAGCGCCACGAAAGGTGACTTCTTCGTCTACAGGTAACCAAGAGCATTTATAGGATTTACCTGATCGACTGGTGGGGAGGACGGAACGTGCGGTACAGGATTATTGCCAGCACGAGATGTTCGCGGGAGGATGCTGTAATTCTGTTTCTTTCACGCATATGCACAGGTGGGGTTTGGAAAGGGGCGTTGGAAAGGACAGGTAGAGGGAGACAAAAAGCCAGAAGAAGATAGAAAGGAACATAAAGAGAAAGAAAGAGAAAAAAAGAGAGAGAAAGTGAGATTAAACATCTCATAAGAAGGACGAAGTTATTCGCGATATTCTAATGATCCGAGCAGACGATAGATATTGAATGGCGATAGCCGAAGGATTCCGTCCCTGATCGCGGTGCGCGGCTGACAAAATGATCTAAAGATAATTAGTTCGTGAGATTCAAGGATACACGCGTAATTGAAATAGAGAAATGTCGATATCGCATCCGAGTTGCCGGATAATGCATACCCAGTTTCTTGCGAGTATTAAAGAAACGCGGGTTCGGTAATGGCGTGATAAATAGCGTCTCGTTGAAACGAACTTTACAGCAATGTCGTTATTCTAGTAGAATATGTAAAATGTGGTTGCGAACGTCCTAAGAATTTATGTATCTTTTATGTAAGATTTATACTGTATATTATATATATAAGAGTCAAAGATCAAAGAGTCTAAGATCTGTTCAGTGGTCACAGGAGTAATATAATATTATATAGTAATCCTTTAATATTATATAGTAATTGTTTTGAATATATAACTTTGAAAAAATTATTATGCTAAATTTTTTTCTATTTAAAATTTAAAATTTGATATTAATTCCATCAGTTCATGATATTAAGTTTATACAATTAAAATAAAATGAGGCTCAATGTAAATGAATCAATTTGATTATATGATAACGTGTATTTCTGATACAACATTTTGCAACTGCATTCTTTCTGTGTAAAAAAATGCTGAAACTTGTTCCGTGATTCAATCAAATAAACTGATGATTTGATGAACGAACATGTCCCAAAATATCAACGATATTAAGTCTTACTTTATATTCAGGTTTTACTGTATAATTAAGAAATGAAAGAGTATATGTATGTATATTTATAAATCAATAATTATTACTTGATATTTAATTCAATGAACTTTATGATTGTATTATGCAGTAGTTTTTTACATATTTTTAAGTTCTAAAACTAATCCAAAGTATGACTAATCCAAAATAATGATAAAAATATCTCTGTAATTTAATAGTTCAAAAAGATAATCGCGGAATGTGTATATGTTCTTGTGATTTCTAATATTATTGACATTTGAAGATTATGCTAAAGTTTTATAGACTATGTATGATGTAAGACTAATCGATTTACGACTGTTCGTAGATCGATGAAAGTTGTTAGTAAAATTTTGATGATCTTCTAATAATTTCTTCTAATAATTTCTCGTATTGTTGCAAAAATGTAAAGATCATAATCACTTCCATAGTTGTAGGCTAAATATCATTTACGTTCAGTTCGAACACAATTATATATATTTTATACACATATATATATATATATATATATATATATTTATACATATATATTTTTTTTTCTCTATTTCTTTATATTTTTTAATGAAATAAAATTATGTAAAATAAAGTGGCAAAAAATATGTTATATGATATTGATTCATGTGCATTTTGATTTATATATTATCTTGATACTCGATACGTGCAATGTAGTAAAATTTCATTAATGCAAAAGATTCTATTATATTTGATTTTTATTCATTAACATATTTTCCCTGATATATTTTTTGCTTTATTCGATCTTACGATTGTACCTGGATTGTACCTAGATGATGCGTTTTACATGACAGCGACTTTTCACTTATGCGAGAAAAAAGCCGACAGACTTTTATTGCGCAAGAAAGAGAGACACTAATGTCTCTTCTTCGGTCTTATAAACTCGTCAGGCCCGGGATGCTTAGACACAATGATGCTCGACGGGTCATCGCAAACATTACGCGAGTTTCGCCGGCTTGCATTGCGCGTGGCTCTACACGACTACTGCGAAGAGTGCGGAGTTCAATAAAAGTTTAGTGTCAGTGGCGCAAGTACTTAGCGTAAATAACTGCTATTTGCTAACTATTGAGCGAATAATAATCATGTAAAGAAATCTTCAGTTTTCGCACATCTTTTAAAATAGCTAGCGATCGATCGCAATAGTTCCGAAAATTAGAGACTGCTGAGTTGTAAGGATGATAATGTGTGTATAATATGCAAAGTTGGAAACGTTACTTCAAAAAAGTAACGCGTTACCGTTTCTGTTACTTTTCGTGAAAAGTAACTCGTTACCATTACTCGTTGCTAATTTTGAAAAGTAACTCATTACCGTTACCGTTACTAAGAAAATAATGATTCGATTTATTTTTTTATACTTTTTATAATACAAAAATTAAATTAATTTATTTTAAAATATAATTATTTTATAGTATTTATTATAATTAATTTTAAAATATAATTAATACTTTTATATATTTGATAATAAATTATTCCATCATTGATGTTGTTCATATTCAATTTTTGATTTATTGTAATTTAGAAATTTTAGATTTATGAATACAGAGAAAAACATCATGCATGCATATAATTTTCCAAAATATTTGCAAACTGCTTCGTAATAGGAATGGATTTTTCAATTACTAAGGGGATACTATCCAGGATTACAAAATTAAATAAATTGGTAAAGAATTCGGCTCTATGTAATTAATAACACGATACTTAAGAAACGAGCAAATAAGAGCCAAACGCGGATGGTAGTACGTAAATTTTTTAAATATTAATTGTTCGCGAAAATTTTCGGCAAGCGAAAGACTCGGGTTCGATTTCCGATTCAACGACTTCGCCTCGATATTTTTCTTTTCTACATCTCTTCAGGGGGATAAAGAGGGTTTTATAGAATTCTCAAAAATGAGAATCTACATCTTGGTATATACATCAAATAAAATATTTGTATATATGCCTTGTGCACGTTAAAAATTTTCACGAACAATTAATGTTTAAGAAATTTACGCACTACCATTCGCGTTTGGCTTTTATTCACTCGTTTCTTAAGTATCGTGTTACAAAATTAAAGTAACGATAAAAGTAACGGTTAAATTCGTTATCGTTACTGTAAAAATGTAACGACGTTACCATTACCGTTACAGACAGAAAAAAGTAATAATTGTTACCGAAAAAAGTAATGTTAACGGTAACGACGTATCAAGTAACGCGTTACTTCCCAACTCTGGTAATATGTAATTTTTGTGAAAAAGAATTAATTTTCAAAATATGTAAAACGTATTAAATAAACTTCTTAGAAATATACTTGGTATGCTTCATAAGTGTTTGTGAAATCGACTTCAGACACTTTAAAGCATGAATGGACAAGAGGAGACAGGGAAAAGAGACAGTAAGAGCAAGATGGAATATCTGATCAAGTTGAATTGAATAATTTAGTAATATTTATTAAATATTGATTTATCGAATATTTGGTGACAAATATTAAATATTTAATATTTGTTACTGAATTATTTATTAAAATATTTGAATTATTTATTAAAATATTAAAATATTTGAATTATTTATTATGAATTATTTATTATGAATTATTTATTAAAATATTTTTATTAAAATTTATTAAAATATTATTAAAATATTAAACATTTTATTAAAATATTATTTATTAAGAATTATTTATTATGAATTATTTATTATGAATTATTTATTAAAATATTTTAACTATAAAAAAATTTGTTTATACATTAATTGATCCAATAAAATATTTAACAACTACATCTATTATTAAATATAGTAATAGGTATCAAATATCCAATTGAAATTCACAACTTAATGTTTTTGATAATTATTATTGACAATTTTTCTTCAGTATACATATAATATACACAGCAACAATTAAAAGTAAATGATGTAAATTCTTTAGTGTTGAATATATGTTGAATTATGTTTTGAATGCACATAATTTTATATCGCATTAAACGTATCGTCTGTACATTAATTATCCCTTTTTACTATTTTCTGCTTTATAAATATACATGGCGATAATTAAAAATCAAACTTTCGATATTTCAAAGGTGCAGTTTATGTGGAATTCATGCGTGTTATATTCTACTAATATCTAATTAGTAGGTAATTATTTTGACGTAGTTTATATATCTTTAGAGTTTAAATTTGGTTGAATCTTTTTTTTTCTGCATCAATATAATTTATAACACTTGCAATACTAATGTATTCCTTGCAACGTTAGTAAAAAGATAAACTTTTCAGATTTATTACCATGATATTTCTTGCAAAAAAACAATGTGCAGCGAATGCCATAAAACATTTTCGATAACAAGTTTTCCAAGATTTTTGTTAAATACAAATATATTAAGAATGAAGCAAAATGTCAAAATGTTAATTTTATCACATCTAAAGTATCAGGCACGTCAGACAAATATACGAGGAATGAAAGTCTAATGAATTTTTAATATAAGCGATCTATAAATATGATCGAAAAGAATCGTACATTCTCTATTCGCTCGCGAATTATTATAATTCATTCATGCGTGATGATTCAGAATTATGATTGAGTGGAAAAAGATTCCACTGTGAATTTTCCCAAATTAAACAAATGCTATGCTTGTTAATAATTAAATTAATAAGTAAAATTAAATTAAATTATATTAATAAATTATATTAATAAAATTAAATTAATAAGTAAATTTAATTATTAAATTATTAAATTTAATAATTTAATAATTAAATTTACTTGTCAAAAATGTCTCGATATTTGTATTTTGATAGATTCATCGCGTAGAAATGCAATTCTTTTCATTCTCATCAAATACTTAGTTGTTTCAGTATATAATCGTACAAAGGTCAAAATCATGTTTCATGTGACCTTAAATCATTGCTGTCGGCTATCATCAGGACTAATTGAAATGATCTTTCTGATTAATACTTATATATCGACGTTTTTATATTTTTATTGATCTGACCGTAAACAGTAGATAACTCCCGTGGCATTGTAATTATCCATGAATGAAGTTTGCTCCTAAGTGATATTAACCTTTCACTTAGTATTTGATTTTCCACTGAATGAAAGAGATTGTTAGAAAAGGTCAAGATTGCTGCCCGCAGGTTTGATCGATTTTGCCGGATGAATTGTTAAAGGAATACTATCGACAAAAAAATAATAAACTACTTTTATATTACTTATTTATTTAAAAAGAAAATATTTTTGAGTGTGTGTGTGTGTGTATTCCATAAATAAAGATCTCTTTTTACGAAAATTTATTATATTTTTTAATTAATCTCGATACGAAGTTCTCTTATGCAAACGAAACCTTCTTATGACTGCCTGGTACAGCAATTGAATGCAAGGAGGATTATACGATGTGTCTCGTATTGTAATGATAAAGACCGATTCTCCGCAAACACTTTATTATCATCGGTTAACTTAGCTGCGATTCTAAACTACCAACTCTATCAAGGCTGACTATGACAAAACTGCGATTATTTTATCGACCAAATAAAACTTTCTTACTTTAATATGAAACATTACGTATGAATTCACTATTTAAATTTTAATACATAAATATGTTTGTATAAATTGTTTCTCATAATTTCATCTTTATAATTGATATATATTTTATTCACATTTTATTTGAATTCTTAAACAATTCCTAAAAAGGATTTTTAATATTAAAATTAACACAAATTGTTTGCATTTTATACTTTCATAAAAAGTAATCTCCCTGATATAAATTTCAATTAAAAATATTTTATTAGCCGTTCATTAAGCGTTCATTAGCCTTAAGATTGTTTTTTGTTTTTTACTCGTTTTTATTTATTTTTTTCGTTTTTTATTCATTTTTTAATTATATTTTTTTGTTATATTTTTTTTTATTATGTCATTTATTATTCATTTTTTCTATAACTCTACACTTTCGTATTAAAATTAACTGCGATAACTTCGATTTTTAGATTAAAGTAACTAATTAGTTTTCATCTCATTCATAAACTATAGATTTTGATAGGTGATTTCATGATTAGTTCAGAAATTAAGAAATTTTATGAATTTATAAAATTTAAATACAAATTTAATTTTTATTAAGCCATTTCTGATGTTAACATTTCGCATCTTAATAAAAAAATTAATTGTAATTTTCGTGTATTTAAAAACACTTTAAATTCGAAGCAGCCAAATTATTTCTACATATATGTACATAAATATATATGTATATAAATATTTAAATGTACAAAAATTTAACAAATTTTTGTATTATTAAAATGAAATCAAAAAAGATAAAAACTAAAACTTTATAATTAAGATATAATAATGCATATGCATGTTTAAGAATTATCATGTATATGTAAGAATTAGCATGCGTATTTAAATTGTCTTAAATATTATCTTACACATTCCTGAATTCATAAAAATTCGGAAATTCCAGAGGATACAACCAATTCATTACTAATATACTTTTTTAACGCGATGAAAAAATATAAGGCCTTAAACTATTTATAGCTATATGATGAATTAAATTTTAACAAAATGTATGATGTCAAATCTTTATTTTTATCTCTATTGTGTCTAAAATATTTCTATTTTGCCTTTTTTTAGTTCTTATTATTATGGTAAGAAAAATTTATCACTAAATACACACACACACACACACACACACACACACACACACACACACACACACACACACATTGTCTGGCTATAAAGTTTTAAGACTATCTTTACCAAAAATAAAGAAGTCGTTATATCTTCAATATTAATCTTCAATATCTTCAATATTATCATTTATTTTTCAATATATATTCCTTCTAATTCCACACAGAACTTAGCGCGCTCTTCTAGTTTATATAAGGTGTTTTGAAAATCCGGACTGGGACGCTGTTTAATTGTCATAACATTGCTTTGAATCTTCACATCGTTAATTAGGCTTCTTTTTGATTTTAAGTTTGGAGGAAAGAAGATAATTAATAGGAGCCAAATTGAAAGAATAGGAAGGGTTGATAAAGTTCAGTCACGTTTTTATATATTAAAAAATGATTATAATTATGGTTATACGCCGGAGTGTTATAATTAAACAGAAACCAATCATCATTCTTTTTCATCTCAGGTTGTATGCGGCTGATTCTTGCGAGAATTTTTTCCATGATGGTCTTATAAAATTCAAAATTAATTGTTGTCCCTTGTGGAATAAATTCCTTATTAATCATGCTTTTCACATCAAAGAAAGCAATGAGTATTGTTTTTATTCTTGACTCTTAGAATCGGAATATCTTCGCTCTTAGTGAATTTTGTCCAATTCATTCTGCATTTTTTTATTTGTTTCTATAGTAATTTTGCTCAATTTTATACAAAACTTGATCGCATACCGTTGCTTGACTAACGCTCCCATGACGAGACAAAACAAACACGTCGTACAAAGATATATTTTAGATATAATTAACTTATCATTGAAAAATTGTGTTTAGAGATTGTATTAGATTCGAATAAAACTAAATTGCACTGAACTAATATTGATAACTTAATAGAAGAAACGTAGTTAAAGATTAATGCAAGAGATTTCAAGTGGCGAAAGACAGATGATGCTGTTTAGACACGTTTTATAAAATTAGTCCTAAAACTTTTATAGTCAGACTGTGTGTGTATGTATATATATATATATATATATGTATATATAATGTATTATGTTTATAGAAACTACATATATAATACATGAATAATATATATTATATATACTTATATATATTGTTGCGTCCCTATACATAATTCTCGTATTATATTGCATAACAGAAGATAGTATTCTAAATATTATCTAAATATTATAATCTATTGATAAAAGGAACAAAAATTTGCATCTTAAACATTAATGGCGTTACTTTCATCATTTATTTGTTATTACTTATTAGTTATAAATTAATAAATATTATAAAAAAATATAAGTTTATTTTCATAATTTCATTGAAGTATTATATTATTCAGCGTTTCGATAGCTATATTATTTACACTGTATATTGCAGGGTACATATATTCTATATATATTCTATACTATCATTACAATGTTTATATCTTTTGTTTAATGTAACTATTTTCCAATTTATTTGAAATGCACACAAGAATATCATTTCATTGTTAAAGATATTTAGATATAATTTAAATATAATTTTAGATATAATTAACTTGTCATTGAAAAATTATGTTTAGAGATAGTAATAGATGTATTAGAAATTTATTTATTATTAATTTTATGTCTACTTATTTTTTTATTATGTCTATTCATTTTTTAAGTTTTTTTAATTTTAAGTGAATTTTCTTTCGATTATATATTATTTATATATTAAGAATTAAATATATAATTTTGCTTTTATTTATATTATTATCGAAAAATAGATTTTAACAGTTGTTAAAACAGAAAAACTATGCAAATAGTTTTTTTTATAAAAATTTTTATTTTTTTTATGTTTGGACTCAGCCATTGGCCATTAAATGAAATATTCTTGTTATTAATATTAATATTATTTTAATATTTAAGATTCGTGCATTTCACTGATCGATAATACTCCTCAAATTTTCAACTCTCATTTGGGGTATGTGAAGGCGGGCAGATATTCCTTGGGAGGTAGGTACTCGTAACCTATCGGAGGTCTCTTCGGTGTGGTCGACGGCATAGTCGGTGGTGGAGCCGGTTTGCCAGTCGACCTATATGTCGTTGTACTTGATTTTGGTATTGGAAACACTGTATACCTAGGTGTTGGATATGGTATTCGCGTCGGCCGTACTGGTAGGTACTCTCTCACAGGTGTCGGTGGTGGAAGATATGTATGTCGCTCATACGGGGGCAGGTAGGTCGGCTTGGGTGTGGTAGTAGTTGTAGTCGTAGTGGTGGTTGTAGTTGTGGGTGGTGTAGTTGTAGTTGTAGTTGTAGTCGTAGGTGGTATAGTCCTCGGCGGTAAATAAGTAGTTCCTGGCGTAGATCTGACAATAAAAGTTATTATACTTATAATTCAAGTGGTAATCTTTTTAAATGATGATACTTAAGATTAGTGAATTGATAACGTTGATAAAAAGATAGATAAGCTGCAAAATGTATATTAAACAGGTGAATCATGTTATGATAAAATAGATGTATTCAATCATTATAAATGATGTATTCAATCATTATAAATGATGTATTCAATCATTATAAATGATTGAATGTTTGATCGTGTTGTTACAAGTGATCGAATAATCGATTTCATTGGAACGATAAATGATCGGAATGCGATAAAATGATTTTCATTTGACTGAAGAATACATAAAATTTTACAATTAAAGTTAAAAGTTATGTATAAAATATTCGCGGAAAAGAGACATGACACATGATAGTGATGTTTATTGTAATTATAATTAATATTTAAAGTTATAAAATATATTCATACTTTCTCGTTGTAGTCGTTGTAGTTGATGTAACAGTAAATGCAACATTTGGAGTTTCGTAAACATATCCACCTGGAGTATAAACGTAGCCCTCCGATTCATCCGGTTTTGGAGTTATATACTCATATCCCGAAAAGGCTGGCTCAACTACTATGGCATCTTGTCTTTTTCTGTTGACGTAATTATATAGCTTACAAACATATAATACTTAATAAAAAATAATGATTTATTATTATATAAATTAATCACGATTATGAATAAGATGATTTTAAAAATAAATTTAATTAATACATATTATACAAAAATGTTTCAATTTTAGATGTTTGAATATACTTACGATGAAAAACCAACTGGTGGCTGTAAATCTTGAATTTGATAATTATTCTTTATTACTCGTTTACTTCTCTCATTTGCATTTGCATAATACGTAGAGAGTACGGCCACTAAAATGGCCACCCATAACAATTTCCACTGTAACATAACTTACATTATAATAATCGACCAAATAATTAATTTATTGTATTTTTTTACGTTATATATTTTTTTATTATATATTATTATATATTATATATTATATATTATTATATATTATATATTATATATTATATATTATATATTATATATTATTTACGTTATATATTATTTTATATGCACTATATTTATATAATTATATTTATATAATCAGCACTCAATATCATATAAATACTATTATTAAATATTTATTAATAATATTTATTAAACATTATATTAATAATTATTAAACTCTTTTTCTATTAAAATTTTCTGGATAATTACTATGTGAAATATGTATTGATTGAAATGATAAAAATACATTTTTATTCTGGTTTCAAAATAATTAATCATTCATATATGCGATAATAGATCATCTCTATGGAATAATCTCATCGACGATTTCTTTTTATCCGTAATAATTTTACATAACGCATCTCAGCCACGAAATATTACGTAATACGTTGAGCATAAAAAATTCGCGAATGTGATATAGTGTATTATTTATTTATTAATTAACGTTTGACAATGCAACAATACCATTTTTCGTAAATTATATTTCTTTCATTTATAAGTATTAATAAGATAATAAAAAAAATTTTTATACATACTAAACAATATTAATTAATTGTAAGGATGAGACATTATTTGAATTCTAATCTTGTGCCTATTTTTAGTCCTAGTACAAAAGACTTAAATAAGAATTTTAATTGAATATATTGTCGATGAAAAACAATTGAGAATTTCATTAATCCTACCTGTCGATGCTAACCGATTTAATTATTCATTAAATATCTAAGTTACATTTGATTAACAAATTATTGTGCAAACGGGCGTGAAAATAGTTAATAATAATAAAATTGCCAAAATATTACCATCATATAATTTCAATCTTTGATGATATATTTCTTTTTATTTTTGATATAATTTTTATTAATTTAATTTGCATAAGATCGCAAATCAATGAGACACTTATTGTAATTCACTTTATCTGAGATTAATGAAAAGACGCAATTATATTACGCTACGAGATTTTTAACATCTTTATTAATATGCGAACCAAGCAGTTTGATGGATGAATAATTTTTTATTGAACAAAATTACACGACTGACTTTTGTTTAATAGAAATGTAATTGCATTATTTAATCAGGAAAGTATTTCTATTTTAATTTATATATTAAGCAGAAATAGATATTTTATTAATTTAATAACTGGAAATTGCAGAAATATGACGAAATATAAATCCCTAACTAATGATCTTTCCCAACTACGACAGCATTTGCGTCATCGATGCAAGCTTGTTTTGGAATTAATTTACGAATCAGTCAACATCGTAAAATGAATGTTATACGAATGGAAATTGATGATAATATTTTATTTGCATAAAACGTATTTAGTATTCGTGAAAGAAGAGATATAAGTTAAATTATTTTTATAAAATTAATTATTTTTGTAAACTATTTTTGTAAATTATTTTTATAAAATTAATTATTTTTGTAAACAAATTGGTAAATATGGAGAAGCTATTTTTCTTAAAAATTTTGTTACATAAAAAGAATACATGTATATATAGATAGTCATATATTTTTTTAAATAAACTTTCTAGTATAATTTATTCTTTTAATGAATTTAATAATTAAAAATATCTTGTTTTTTACATTTTAAAATAGTATTACACAATCAAAATTTTATTTGTAAAATATATTTACAAAACAAAAAAAGGATCTTCCTTCTATTTCTTAATTATAAAGCAAAATTGTTAATCTACTAGTTAACATAATGTTGAAGTACTTTTAATCAATAATTATATTTCATAATAACAAAAAAATTCGTAATACAGTTAGTGAATAAAAATAAGTATCTTTAAATTATAATTATATCTTTGAGAGTAGAATTTGACATATTTATTTCAAATTTTTAATTTTCAGTCTCTTATTACTTTTTTTTATTCACATACGAAAACGATTTGATTAATCAAATATTTTTTATAAGAAATTTTTTTTTTTACTATAAGAAGACAATTTTAAAAAAAATATACATTAAATGAGGAGAATTTCGAGATAAGTATAGAGTTATAGTAATCTGTAATATTTATAACTTCTTCAAAAATTGTATTTCTATAAAAGTTGTCTTTCTATTAACTGCCGCGAAAAAATTGTGTTCCATTGGATTTGTACATTTGATATTTGTATCGCAAATTTTATGCGTTATCATGACACATATAATAAGATTCTAATCTTAAAATATTTAAATGTCCTAAAAAAATATATACATAACAATAAAAGCAGCATAAAACTTTTTTCTTAAAAATTAAAAAAGTTTATAATTAAAAATTAATAGAATATCTTTAAGATGAAATATCCAATTAAAAAAATTCTGCCACGAAGCAGACAAATAATAAAATTTTATTTTAGTTTAAGAAAACAATTTTAAATTATAATTTAATATAAAAAAATCTAAAAAACTTGTACTATAATTTTGTGAATTAAAAAAAATTATGCTACATAAGATTTTTGTCGAATAAAAATCGAGGATATTATTTTATTATCATTTTCCATAATATTTCTTAGCAAATTTATATATATTTAAATAAAATAATATATTTGAATAAAACAATAAAGATGACAGACTTGAGAAATTATAATTGAAATATATAAAATTAAATTAAATTGACAAGCCATACAATATTTATGAATTCCTTTTTATGTAATATTGTCTGATTTTTACTATTTTTTCAAATATGTCATCACTTTTCCTTTTAGTTTTTATATTTTTATTAATTATGATATGTTTCGTATACAAGGACGTAAATATTTCTAAGAATCTCAGGATATAAAAGACGAACGATGATGACAATTGTACAAATTTTATCTCTTGACTTCGACTTTCGACAGTAAATGATTCTCTACAAGATCACTTATTTCACTTTTCAAGTATTTTCTTCGACAGTAAAAGAACTCGCAATTCTTTCAAGTTTATCCATCTCCGCGATTGTTCGTATATATTTTCTCTCATGTCACTTTAAGTCCATGATTTGTGATACACTGCTACTTACCATTTTTTTTGTCGCAACAATCATTAAAGAAAAAGATCGAAACAAACGGACACTTTAAAACGGGAATACATGCTTTTCACTCAGGAGTGTATCCCGAGAAATAACTTCTTCACCTACAGACTACCGAAATTTATAGGATTTATTTTACTAGTTAGTGGGGAAAACATTCGAATGTGATTATTATCACCAAGGGCAAGACATCTGCGGGAAGATGCTATAATTCTTCTTTCACATATATACATAAGATTGCGAGAAAGAGAAATATAGAGAAAAAAATGAGGGAATGAGAATAAGCATTTCGTGAGAAAGTTATCTACGATATTCCAATACTTCGAACCAACCGAAGATTGATGCTGAATGACGACAGTCGAAGGACTCCGTATTTATTCCTGATCATGGAAAGGAGCCGTTGACAAATATTCGAAAATTATGATTACGGGAGTTCAAGGACTTGCACGCAATTAAAAAAAGAGGAATTTTGATTGCATCGCTAAATGGTGCATATGAATTTCTTTCATTAAAAAAAAAACGTGAGTTTGATAAACGTGAGTTTGGCGTTATGAATAGTATCTCGTTGAAATATTACGATAATGTTATTTTAGTAGATTATTTCATAATTAAAAGTTTAAAAAAATATTTAAAACTTACACTATTAGCAATATATATATATATATATATATATATATATATATATATATATATATAGTATACATATATCAAATTTTTTGGTGAATTGTACTATAAGTTCTATCTTTTTGTATAAAATATAAATAAGATATGATTGTAAAATGTTGCAACTTTATATTATTCAAAATATATATTATTTAAAATTTAATATAATGTAACCATTGTTCTTACTTTTTCTATATCTTTCTCTTTTTCTCGCTATTTAAAAATATAAATAATTAATAATCAACAAATAATCAATTAATAAATGAATAAACTTGTTCAAATGTCATGATAGTCATAATCTATTACATCTTATTTATATTCTATACAAAAAGACAAAAGTATTGAAATTTATATTGCAATTCGCCAAAAAATAAATATATGGATATTGAAATGCCAACAACACCAAGCCTCATTTTATTCCTGTACAATTAAGCAACGAATGAATTTAGAAGTCGATGATTATCATACGATAGCTGACGTAACGCCAAACTACTCGCGATTGCGTTGTACCTCTATCAAGTTTTATAACATTTTTGTTAAATTAAAAATGTGCGCAATCATATTAAACAGAGTTAATAAAGCAAACTATTTAAATATTATTTTATTTAAAACATGAATCAGACAAATATATATACATGTAACTATAAAACTTTTAAAGCAGATAGACGACAAATATGATTGTAGAAAATGTGAAGTTTATTAATAATAATTAAATAAATGCACGAAAAAATATTTTGATATTTACAATAAATACAGTTTATTATTTTTAATTGTTTAATATGATCTAACAAATCCATGTTAACATAATTTTAAAAATCATTATTGTTAATAAAATTATAATTGTTAAGTTTAATTGAGACCTTCTTTTTGATTGCTTTTGTGTCTTTATAAGCTTATTAATAAGTACAGAATCGAAAGAATAAAAATTTTTCTATCTTCTAATAAAATTTTATTGACAAGCAGATACGTTATATATTCCCATAATTTACATCTTTATATTAGTTAATTATGATAACCTCGGTTTTTGGATTAGACTAATTTTCATTTTCGTCCATGAACTATAGATTTTATCGACTAATTTTGTAGCGAGTCTATAAACATTAATTTTACGAGTTTCTAAGAATTTAAATATAGATTTGACTCTCATTATTCCATCAACTATAAGCTATATAAATGTTAAAGTCTCGCATCTTGATCGAAAATAATTCTTGCAAACTTGAAAAACATGCTTTATGTTCGAGCTAATTAAAAAAATTTATGTGTGTATATGTGTATATTATACATCTGAAAATGTCTAAATCATTTAAAATGCATTGATAATGTATTACATGCATTTAAGAATAATCATGCATCGTTTAGAATATTATTTTCCACATTCTTATAATCATTGGAGTTCAGAAATTCCGAAGGACACACTCAAATCATTATCATGCATTTTTGGCGACCAAAGATATGAGAGAGGACCTTCAACTATTTATAGCCATATGATGAATTATTAATTAAACTTTTAATAAGATGACATTAAAATATTTGTATCTTCTTCCCTTCCAAAGTATCTCTAAAATTTTATTTTTATGCTTTTGTTAAAATGGAAATACTATAGAAAAAACCATATAAAAAACAAAATTTTTATTATAATTGTGAACTTTATTTCAATACAAATTTACAAATAAAATGCAAAATAGTAATAAATAAAATTTTTAATATAATATATTTTAACATAATACAAAAATGTATATTTCATTATAATTATAATATAGAAAATATATTGCAAATTGTATTAGGAAATTTTATTCAAAATATTATGCAAAATTTAATACAAAATATGTAATTGAAAAGAAGATACAAAATAACTTATATAATATTATATGTACGATGTAATTATTATCATTTTATATGATAATAAAAATATTCCAACATTTAGAGGCGCATTTTATAATTTACAGTTATAATGTGCATAAGAAATCAAATGTAGAATTTAATCCTAAATTTATTTTTAAATATTCATTTTATGCAAAAATTTTGCGATCAAAAATAAGATATACAATTTATTTTGTGGACAAATGCAAACAGGATAAAATAAGCTTTATAATTAGATTAGAAAAAAATAAAATAATCGTATTATTGCTACGATCAATAAAGGATAACTGACCCAACGATTAAAACCAGATCAAAATCCCTCTGCCGAGTGACACGCTGGTTAATATCTGACAGAGAGAGAAGACCAATCCTAAAAATGGAAAGTGACTTCAACTTATCTTATTTTTATTCCAGGCCCCGCGGAATCAATCCACAAAGAAAAGTTAAATGATTCATTAAACGTCAGAAGTCCTGCTACAGGAAGAAATGAATCCCCGATCTTCCTGATTGCTCCCAATAACAGTAACTTTAATAAGATTTCATTTAAGAAAGTATTGCATTTAAAATTTTATCCCATTCTTTACTAATTATTTATACAAAGTTATAAATATATTTTAAAAATTTGCAAATAATATTTTTAGAAGATAAAGTTAGAACGTATTTTCAATATAATTTAAATGTGAACAGAAATTATTGTGGTGAAATAATATTAATATATTAATTATAATATCACTTTGTATAGCTGAGAATTAAGAATATACATGTATGTAATGTGCAAACATTTACTTCTTATGCAAATGATGTTGCTTGCTTTCATCACGATATATCAATAATATATAAAGTGCGCCTTTGATAAATCGAGTTTGAAAAAATACTCGTGTTATAAATGCAAACAATATGTCTGAAGGTAATATAAATGACAAATAATTTATAAATTACTTACCGCATAATGATGCTCCGTACGTTGTCCAATACTTTTTTATTCTCGATATTCTTTTCCTTCTTGTTTGTCCTTTGTTATTTCTTCGTGGCATTCACATTCACTTCCGAAAACACGATTAATAATAAAATTAGTCATATATGCAACGATTGCGAGATCCTTTACACGACACTCCCGATCACGGAATGATTACACGAAGCATTTTATTATCAAATTAAGGAAACATGAAAAAAATGATTCGTCCAATTTCTACATCAATTTATGCGCTACTTACAAATGCTTATTCTTCATATTGATATATGTATAACATACGAATATTAACATAAATTATAAGATCAAAAGATTTATAATTGAAAATAATTGAAAGTCATAATACAGTAATCAATTATTTAATTATTAATTTATATTTTATATTTTTGAATTAATAATTCACTCTCGACAATATACGAACTATTTCGCATCACTACCTTATTGACCGAACGTCGCCGTACGAATAAGACCAAGACCGTGACATGTAAACACAGTACGCCATACGCCGCCAAAGCCGAACGTTGTGTTATTGCTCGTTTGTTATCGAAAAATTTTACGTATCTTAACATGAATACGTAGCAACGTTAACATGTATTTTAACATGTATACGTAGAATATTAAAATATAGAAGAGTATTTTAGATTATATAAATTAATTATATAATTATTTGTTAAAGAATTAATGTATCACGAAGCCTTTCATTATATAATATTAATTATTTCCATCTACAATTCGATTGTTTTACTGTGCGTTTTCAATACGAATTATATTTAAATGATCGGAAAATAAAACGATAGTGTCGCAGATGAATTATATTTGATTCTAAATATCATTAAAGAAATAATTTTTGCTCATAAAAGTCAATTTTGTATCGAAACGAATTTATCATTTTAAATTTCTGTTACTGATTCTTACTTAATTAAATGAATAAATTATGCGAAATACGCGCTTCGAAAATGTTCATCTCGAATATATACAAGTATTAGTTATACATTATTTATAAAAAAGAATTAATTATATTATTATAATAAATAGTTTTCGATACTGATCGTGGTCGCGTCTAGAAAAGGAATTTGACGGAGTGTCTACTAAAAAGTGTTGAAATATTTTACACATAAAATAAAATGTTTTATTTTTGTACTTTTCGATGATTAAATATAATTCGGATTAAAAACGTGTAATATATGTATAAAACAATCAAATCACAGGTTTGAATAATTAACATAACGAAAAATTCCGAAATACGTCTCAACCGTTTAATATAAATAATTAATCTATAATCTAAAATATTTTTCTATAACATTCCGTGTATAAGTATACATATATAATATGTTAAAATACGTAAATTCGATAATAAATGGAGAATAACACGGTGTTCTTGGTAACGTATAGCGCGCTATTATTTACATACGACTTTGTTATTCACGACCTTGTTATCATTCTCATAGCGACACTCGAGCAGCAAAGTAGCTATATGGAATATGTCGTGTACCATCGAATTCTCTTTCTAAACCGCAAGCGCAATTAATATCGAAACGTAATATGCTCTCTTATGATATAATAAAGTGCATATTTAGTACATTTGTTCCGCGATCGGGAGTGCCATGTCTTGCGATCGTTACGTATATGATTAATCATGTTTTCGTGAGTGAATGAATGTCACGAAGAAACAGCAAAGGATGAACAAGAGAAGAAAAAGAGATTTAGAAAAGCATCGACATACGGAATAACGGAGATAGCTATGCGGTAAGTAATTTATAAGTTATTTATATTTTACAAAAAATAGATATATTACGTGTTTCTTTTGGATAATATTTAATTTTTTTTATTTTTTAAATATATATATATATATATATATATATATATTCTTAAAAAAATAAAAAAAAATCCATAATTTCAACAAAATGATAATTTATAATTTTGTCACTGCAGTTCTTCTTTGATTAACTGAATAAATTATGCGAAATATACGCTTTGAGAACTATTATTATGATATATGTAATTACATATTATTTATAAAAATGAATTTTTGGTCGCGATTGCATTTAAAAAATGAGTTCAATAGAGCGTTTCATGTTATTATTCTCTTGTTCCAACGTCATTACGAATAACAAGGTGATGGCAGCTAAATACTAGTAGCGCTATACCTACGTCACGAAAGTGTAATAATTAATCTGTTATTTATAATCAATATATCTATTATATAAAATATTTAACACACTATGAAATAAATGCAAATTGTTCTGTTTCTTGAATTTTAAAAATTAGTTAATAAATATAGTTAATAAATATAATTAATAAATAAATAAAATTAATCGTTAAAAAATAAATAAGTAGAAATTAGGTCAAAATTGGCAAATAAGAGCAAAATTTTAATTTTCTTTAATTTAATTCTAATCCTTTTTCTCTCGAGTTTCTCCTTGTCATATTTATTCTCTTGATATTTGAACTTATAATTTAATTAATACATTATGAAATATTAAATATTCAGAGCTATAAATAGTTAACAGTATCACAATGTGAATTTTTTTAAATTCGCATTATAAATATTTTTTAATATTGCGATATAATTCACGTAAAAAAAATCATCAAACATGAAATTTGATTTGTATTTTCAATGAAATATCTGAAAGATGTAGCCGCATGGGTTTCATGAAGCATTTGATGTTACACAGTCAGTCTTCGACACAAATGGCTGTAATATCTTACTAGAAATACATCTTACTAGAAGAAGAAGAGAGGGAAGAGGAAAAAGAGAAAACAAGACAAGTTGTAGAAAGTGACAGTTGACCTATAATAAAAAAGACAAAGAGATCCTTATAGTGTACGTATTCTAAAATAAAAACTAAGAAGTAGAAACTAGAATAAACTCTAGGAAGACACGATGTCAATAAAAATTGCATAAGTGAATGCGTGTTTCTCTTTGAGTACACTAAAAACAATTCATGATCAATCGCACCTGTCATGCTTTGCATAATCATTCGCATAAATATACATCTACTTTTGTGGTTGACGAAGAAATTACTATCTTTCGTATTTATAAAAATAAAGCGACTGATTATGAATTTTCACCGATTGTATTAAATAGTTATTAATTTATTTTATTGACAGCACTTAAAAATGTAATAATAATAGTTATTTAATTAACTATTATTAATTATCATTATTGACGATAAAATTTAATTTTTAATAATGCACAATTTATTTTCTTTAAGATATATTCACATTTTATAATAGGATTATATTTATATATATGACATATGAGTGTTTTATATAACATGTTATGGGATTTTATAATTCTTTAAAAGAAGTTTTGTTTTTAATTTTTTCTACAGACATATTAATCTTATATTAATCTTGGCGCTTAATCAGACTTGACGATAAAAATATATAATAGAGAAAAAGCGATAAATTGAATATGATAGAATATTGTTTCTGAATTCAACTCATTCTTCGGATGATGTTCCAGGGAATCCAGAAGAAAGACATCGTTTTATGTCCTTAATAAAAGCCATAATGACCGTAATGCCCGTAGCCATACGGATATCCTAAATAGCAATGAAGAAATACTTTAATATTTTTGTGTGAACGATTTCTTTGTTAAATGTGTGTGTACACGTTCTGAACATAAATGATTTCTTTGTCATGAATGCATAGTGTGCATATATAAGCTATTTTGTACAATTTGCGTAATATAAACTTGTGTAATAAAAAATTGTTGGATCATACAGAACCTGAATAATATTGCATCATTACAAGTCATTTATTTATCCTACTAGCAATTAATAAACTGAATACATTGACGTACATATATAATATATGCTATTGCAAATATATTTTTGTATATTTTTTACATTTAAAATATTCAGAATTAAATAAAGAAAAATTACTGTGTGTGTGTTGTATAATATATAAATAATAAATTATTATTTACATCTTAGATATTAAAATGTTACATTAAATTATTACAATATACGCAAGAGTGATAAAAAAAATTTTTCTGCCATGCGATTGCGATAATATTGTAAATTGTATAGATTTTACTATAAATCATACCATATCCATAACCATGACCATATCCATGTCCACCATATCCGTGACCATAACCATGGCCATAGCCATAACCATGGCCGTAGAATGGATATCTATAACCGTACGAGTATGGATAGAAGCCATATCCGTAGCCTAAATATCCTGGTTTTGCAACTGCCACACTGATTGCAATGGCCAAAAATAAAACAATATACTGCAAAATCAAAACAAGTAAAAAAGTCGGTTTATTAAGTAAATTTCAAATATATATATGTATAACTTTTGTTAAGATAATAATTTAAAGAATTTTTTTTAATACCATAAATAAAAAAAATAAGATTCATGTAATATGCTTATTTTTTTATCTTTGCAATAGATCGATATAAAAATTACTAATAAAAGCGATAAAACCAAGTTTTACAACAATTTTTTATTAGAATTTTTAAATATATAGATAAAATAATTTAAAAATAGAAAATAAGCTTTTAAAATATGATACATTTTTAAATGCATGTAACATCGCATTTCTACATATTTTTTATGATAAAGATAATAGATAACAAGTCTTACATGTAACAATTAATTGTTGAATTGCTTAACGTAGATATCTTTACGGCACGATAATCACGCAATAAAATTTATTATTTCAGAATGTATTTTTTTAGATTCTATTTATATCCTATTGAAATATATAGTAAAGTGAATTTCGCCTTTTTTAATTACCAATAATAGATAATATATTTATGCAATGTGAAATTTATTCTAATATACATATAATAATATTAAGAATTCATAAAAATGTAAGTTTACTTAATTATATTATAATTAAATTAATTATAATTAAAATATTCACATATGTATTATATATAAACTTTAGTGTAAAATATTTCTCAATGAGCAAAAAAGAGATTTGTGTTAAATAAAACCGTAATACTTAACTTCTAGATCAATCACGAATCAAGTTCTCTTGCACTTACAATCTTTAGAGACGCCATTCTTTCTCGTGATTGCAAATATAGTCCAGCTGACGCTTTGTTAACGATCGCACCTCTTTTTTTCTCATCTATCGTCGCCGAACACCACTATCTATCGTTTCTGCGATACAGGTTCTTTTATAACAAAGACGAAGTCCCTTTGCGAGGCAGTGGACCCCCCACGAGCGGTACACTTTTCCGAGCCCCGTATTGGCCTCCGCCTGTTGTGCTAATAGAAAACATTGTTACCCTGAGATTATGTGAGTTGCGACTTTGCATTATGAAACAACAATGTACGGTAACGTGTGACGAAGTCACGTGAGTGCCCGCCCGACAAGATGCCTTGACATCCAAATTTCTTCCCCGACGCGGTTGCTCGCGTGTATCCACGGCGCCGTAACCCTATCATTAACGGCAGAAAATCATACATCGCAATCGTCAATTACAATATTTAATGCCGCTATAATGTAATCGTTAATTGCTTATCGTCGACAGTAATGTCCGGATCCGTCGAGGGTAAATCCCAGCAGTAGGTCGGAGTGCTATGGAAAAATAGAAGCTCTCGAGTATCGTAACCGAAATAAAAAGAAAGGTGACAGACATTGGGAGATCTGCAATTGCGCAAATTGAGATTCTGTTACAAAATGTATAGTTGATGAAATTATGTTGATATATTGTGCCCGCGCAATGACATATACGTATCCGATTTGCCAATTTCGTAATGATATTCTTGGTCTTGCAATCTACAAAAAAATGAATTGGAAAATGAGAAAAATTAAGATATGAAATCTTTGCTCGGTTAAATCATTTAAAGTTGATGTCGAGACAAAAATCATATTATTTGTAATCCTTTAAAACTAATTAAAATATAAAGTGACTTCAAATTATAATTTATTAATTGCAATGGGGCATACAGTCAAGATATATGAGCCGAATTTGCTAAATCGAAAATTAATTAATTCGACAGAGCCTTCATATTTTTTTTCATGGATCCTGCTGCAGCAAATATACTAGTTTATTTTTATCAGATTTAAAAGATATATTCTATTTTATCAATCATGTTTCAGTTGAATACATGCATCACTTTATCATACGTGGAAATCATATAAGGTTTGCATAATTCTCGTATAAAATAAACAGAAAATATATATTATAATACATATGTATTAAAAAATTATATTTTGGGAGAAATTACCTAATAAAAATGTGATAAATATTTTTAATGCATATTCTCAATAGTAAATAAGAATCATTGAGATTTTATATATACAGTAACAAAAAAGAATTTGTTAATATATACTATTATAAAAATTTTAAATAATTTTTAAAACTATTATTTGTTCCGCTGATTTATTTCATAATTTATGATATAATATTTTTATTTCTTCATATTTTATTGTTATACAGATTTTGCAAGAATAATAAAGATAATAGATATATACATCTCAATTGATTGAAACATCATTGATAAAAATATTTCATGACTGCTTTCATTTTTATCTGTATATTTTTTTGTTATCTTTACCTTCACAGTCGATTATCCACATCGAGTTAACTTATTTCCGCTCCCAGTAAACGAGATCGAATGTGTCGATTGATATTCTAAGCGAAGAATTTTTTGCACGTTATATAAATTGTTATGTATTTACCTTGAATTGTGCGTCACAATAATTTATTTTATGACGTTTTAATCTTCTTGGAGACATTAAAAACATTTTTAAAATTTTCTATTTATAATAATTAAATATCAATTATAAATAAATTTCAAATATCAAAATAATTGTGTAATTATAAAAATAATATATTAAAACAAAATACGTCTTAAAATTATATGATTGTATTTACCTTCTGTTATATTTATGTCTTTATAATTAAAGATAATAAAATTAAATAAATAAACGTTTAGAATTTGTTAACAGCTTTTTTCATAGAAATAATTGTCTGCAAATTAAGTATTTTTAATTTTGCATATCTTATATAATTACGTTTCATATCATTGATGATACGCAGTAAATGCTACGCATATGCAAAATCGTTATGGAGGCCACGAAAATTACTGGACCATGCATGCCCTATACATTATTGTCGAGACAAAGAAATAATTGCATAGATAAAGGCCAGCAATAATCATGAGAATATTTTCTATATCATAATTGTGGGAAAACACTGTAATGAAGACCGATGATAAATATAAATGTGCGTGTCGCGTAGCGTCCATAATTAGTGTGCCCGTTAATTATCAAATTCTCTCTCCTTCAAACAAATCATGCAATGCGATAGCAAATAAAAATCATAATATTTTTCTGTCTGTGTCAATTTTGTTATTAATTTTATAATTTATTTTTTTAACGAGACGAATATTATAACAATAGCATTAAAGCATCACTTATCTGACAGAAGAAGAATAAAATATATGAAAACTACTTGTAATATATTTTTAAATTTATAATACATCTCCTTTTTTTTCCTTTACATTTTAATTAAAAAGAAAGAAGTTTCAGTTTAAAGTACATATTTTATAATTTCTGTTTAATGTTAAAATTATATATTTTGTATCTTTCCTAATTTTTTATTTTTTTTTTTTACTAACTGTATATTTCGTGTACAACTTATCCTAAGAAAAAAGAACGATAATTTTAAATTCCTTATATATTATTTATTTCTTTTAATTTCTTTATATATTTTCCAGTACAATATAATTTTATTTTATTTTTTTTTTTATCAAATTCAAAGAATTCCAGAGATCAGATCTTCCGGTTCTCAAAATTAACCAAACTGATTCGTTTCAGCCCTTTCTGTTTCGGTGTGTTGTATCGATTCGAGGTGGGAGCCGGCGCTATTTCTTCCTGATTAAGTGCAATTATCCGTTCGGGATTTTCATTTTCTGCAAGCTCTCCAGCTGGTGCTTCCGTTGACTCGCCGGATTCGCCCGAGGAAGGCTTGCTTTTCGGCGGTAGATATTTCTTACCGTGGAAGAAAGGCCCGTAAGGATGGAATGGAAAGCCAATCGGATAAGGACCGGCATAAATGGGATAGCCAACGTGGCCAACCCCGACAGGGCCGCCCTTGAGCACTCCGTGGAAGTGGTCGTAGGGCAGCAGGTTGAAAGGGGACGGAAGGCCGTGAAGATGAAAAGCTCCCAGGAGCGGCTTGAACAAAGGAGGTCCATAAGGATGCGGGTAACCATTTCTTGTCGTGTTATTCTGATCGCCATTCTCGGCTGGCTCTTCAGTTTGTCTGTTATTATTATTATTATTATTATTATTATTATTATTATTATTATTATTATTACCATTGTTGTGGCCATTGTTATGGCCATTGTAGCCGTAACGCGGAGGTCCGTAGAAGTCGGGACCGTCGTAGTAAGGTCCGTAATGTCTGTTCCGCCCGTTTTCAGAAGAATTATTTCCATTTCTACCATAGGGCCCGTAAAACGGACCATGATTACCGTATCCACCATAAGAAAACGGAGAATAAGGATGATAGCCATGATTGCCATAGCCATAAGGCTGACCGTAACCTCGATGATCAGTTCCGTTGTTCTCCTCCGAGCTTGTATCCGATGGCGGTTCACCATATGGATGTTGATGATGATGATGATTATGATATCCGTGAAAATGTCCATAAGGTTCGAATCCGTGGAAGCCTGCGTAGGATTTAGCTAGGAAGGGTCCGTGGCCGAAAGCTGCTTTGTCAAACCCAACATCGTGATAAGATGAATATAGATTGGTGGACGATTCCTCGATATTGCCAAGGGGCTCGATATTTTCGATATCAGCAGGTTTTTGAGTCACTTCGAGATCGTCGTTCGCTGAGAAATCGTAAGATCTGTAAAAATTTGGTTGCTCTTGGCGCAGATAGGGCTCATCTCGTACAAATCCTTCGAGTGGTTCGTCTGCTTCGGAATTTCCATCAGGTCTTGCGGGAGAATTCTCATAGAGATCGTTGTAGGGATAAGACTGCGATCCATAATACGTGGGTGCATTTGACGTTTTGTCAACTATGTTGTCCACGATTGAAGGTGAATCCAGATCATCGTCATTTAAGTTAGTAGGACTGGATTTAAAGGATGATCTATTGGTGCGAAATTGTATATCGCCCAATATCGCCGGCGACAACACTGAGGCTACATTCTTAGCGAAATTCGCTAGTATATCTGGGCCTACGTTGAAGAGAGAGTTAATTAGAATAAAAATTATAACAGAATTTGAAGAAAATATGTTAGAATAAATTTTGATTCTCCGTCTTTTTTAAATTCTATTATATATACTCTTTGCAAAAGAATTTAACAGAAAGTATTTTTTATAATCTATATTTTAATGATCGATCATCACATTCATTTGTTTAGCCGAATTTTGATATATGTATGTACATAATAAATAATGTTTACGAAAACATAATTTTGTGATAAATCCCGAAAAGCATTATGCTTACTGACTGCACTTCTTGCTGTTCTACCGCTGTTTATCACGCACCAAAATGCGATGCAATGCATCAGTATCTGTAACAAAAGAAGATATAGCATCCAATACAATGATACAACTGTATAAAATTGTTAGATAAATAAATTAATAAATACTTTAATAAAAGTTTTAATTTATATGCATTTTCGGATATTTATCTTTTTTACAATATTAATAATCTATTTATAAATAATTTCTATAATCGCATAATTAAATTGATGTATTTTTTTTCTAGAATATTTAGATAATAGAAAATATTTAGCGATAACTTTTTCACTGATCGATTTATATTTAGCGAAAATCCACAAGTAAATTCTTATCGTTCGATTGCTTTGCAAAATATTTCAATTAAAAATAAAAATAACGATTACATATTAAATGTAAGATTAGTGTTATAAGAATTATTTTTAAATAATATATATAATATTAAACATAAAATATTAAAATAAATAAAAGATTATTTTCTTTAATGTGTTATATTTAAGCATGAGATAATTTTCAACTATGCACAGAAACGAAATCCGATGTCAGAGACTTTTTACAAAAGAAATAACGAGCAACTACATAACGCATAGTGACACGAGTAGCGTGACCGATGCGATAGCATTATGTTTTATTCGTTATTGCGTAAAAAAAGATGCGTATGCGTATAAATTCGATGATCAACGAATCGTTCCAAAAGCAGGTACAGCGGTTGTGTAAAATCTCAACGAAAAGCATCGTACATACACGATCGCGCAAAATATCAGTCCTGGACACGCTTATTATCGCGACACATCGTGCGGAACTCGATTCTTATAATAATAGAATCGAACCAGTACATATGCCAGTTACATCAATCGTATTTTTACGAGATATGTCTATTGAGGAAACGCTGTTCATAAATATATGGGACTTCCGGTGAAGTTAGTTTGCAGAAGTAACTTTTGCGACATAAATGAAGAAAAACTTCTCTCCGGTTGAAATTTCGAGAAAGTGATTTATGAATCTTAATTTCAATGTATTTTAATTTTTTAATACTATAAAATTCCCCGAAGAAGAGAAATTCAACAACGGAACTTGTAATTGGAGATTTTCTTCTGATTTATATAAGACTCTATAAAAGAAGGCACATTGTTATGCATTTATATTATGTATGAATGTGTTCATTGCCTATATTATCCTATACTTTATAAAATACTTAGTTATCAGGGTATAATTTGAAAATGTTTTTTAATGTAAGTATTCGCGCAAAAGTGAATGACACGACTTCCGACATACTATAACATTAATATAAAAATTTACATCATAAAGAACTCATACTTTCTAAGTCATAAAGTACTTATACTTTCTAAGTTATATTCTTTTTTATACTACTCTTTCTTTATATATTCTTATAGAATTTAATCAAAAAAATGAAATTTTCAATAAATTAAAAGAATCTAATTAAATAAAAAGTATACTCTATTAAAAAAAGATATATGAAAAAAACTCAGTATATATTAGTATCATAATATCAGTATATATTAGTAATATAATTTTGCAATGAAATAATATCGCACATAATCATATAAAATAAAATATTAGAAATTTTACAAAATGTAATTGATGAGTTTGTAATGGAAAAATAATTTGCTTCTCCAGCGCGAAAGGAAATTAAATCCTCATTTATGGATATGTATTTATTCACAAAATTTTCGCACGTTTATTTCCATTTTTTGGTACAATATTAATCACACATTATCGTGATTTGATATTAAATTGATTGGATATTAAATCTCTACCTTTTATATTTTCATAAAATTATATATTGCTATAATATTTTTGATACATTATTAAGTTCTTTTGTGTAATTTATTTATAAACTCGGTGTAATTTATTTAAGTTTCTTAAATTTAATCAAGACGAGAATAATCAAATTACGAAACGTACGTTACCTACCGGGCTTAATGTGAATGATGAAAGTGTAGTTCTTTTCGCATCTTAAAGAAGTAATTTGCATACTAGCTCTTTTTACATGACCTAAATAAATCTACATACTTATATGCAAATAAATTATTTTTGACTTACATGCAAATAAATAAATTAATAATAATTTTTGACAGTTTAATATACAAACAATAAAGTTGAATTTAAAACTTCATTATTTTGCAACGATTACAAAATATATCAATTACACATATATCCTGCAATATTAGAGACGAATATTGAAAGAATAAAGTAAAAACATACTCATAATAATATACTCGCGATGTTATAAATTTACTCATTTATTTGTTTATTAAATTACGCTGAGATTAACTTTCACAATTTACAATCAAAAGACCGATCTGTTGTGAATTTTCGCAACACTGGGATAATGACTCGCGTATTCAGATAATGTAAATCATAAGATAAATATTCCGTAATTTGTAACACTTCACACATATCTGTTCGGAAAATCTCTGACATTTATGATTTATCGCGTTATAATGAATCATTATGATATTTCGTTATACGATTTCGTTATTTGTTCCCTGCAATGAAATGATTTTTTCTATATGAAACGATTTTTTGTATACTCACGTGCGACGCGTGATGCATCGTGCGTGCGACTCGTGACTACTAAGAAACAGACGTCGTGCTCGATGTCATTTATACTTTCTCTCCTTAAATGTCTTTATCCTCAATCATCAGGGTGTCTTTACCCTCAATTCAAACATCAGGATTTATAAAATTTTATTCTTTATTTCTCAATTATCTAGATTGAGAAAGTTCTAAATATTATTGATTTTATAAGTAAATAATATGTTCGCAATTTTGATATTTATCAAGATTGACATAATTTAATTATTATTTAAAATTCATAATTAAATTAATAATAATACAACATTTCAAACACAAGCATATATTTTTATATTTTTGTACTATGAATGTTATAAATATAAATAATGTTATAAATATACAATAAATAATACGATAATGAAAATGATGGCACACATAGATGCAAAATGATGTATATATTGTATGTATAAAATATGTCATTTCAACGTTTCAATCTCCAATTAAAAAACTTAAGAAACATATTCTTAAATAATGAATATTATTATATTCACAATACATGATAATTACGTGTAAACTGTTCAACTAGTATAATATATTAATAGTGATTCATCGCAGTCAATAGAAATTTTTATTTTATAGTTATAATTACTAATAGATAATGTCGTAAGAACGTAAGTTTACGATGGCAATCTTGAACGGTTTGACATGGGTTCTTGAAAAAAATCATAGCGAGAAGACGAAAGCTCGATCGACTAATTTATCCGAATGTCTGATGATTATAGTGAGGTTGACGGAACAGTGAAACGGATTAATAACCAATTTGACTAATTGTGCCGACAATTCCGGGTGCGATGACTCCACGAAGATTGTAGATTTGTATGGGGCGAGGTGAAATTCCCACCAGTCGTGTAGCTCGGAGATTCGGCGTGATAATTATCGGTCGTTGAGTACTAGTTAAAATGTCTAATTGTCTGGCTTGAAACTGTGCGTTAATCTGCCCGTATCCCGGATATTTCGCGAGCATGCCACTTACACTTCCGTACGGAATCCCACCTGTTGAATGATACAATCAGTACTCATTATATTAAATGATTCATCACTGTTGCATTTATAATGTAAATAAAAAATTGCACAATTGTGGTTATTTTATTTACATTTTTTTCATGTCTTGTTTTTTTCTTCTTTTATATTTATTTAATAAAAATATTTATTGTTCAGATATTATTTTATTATTTCAGATATTATATTAAATATGCGAAAATATGTTTTAAGATAATTAAATATTACTATGATTAAATATGATAAAACAGTTAATTTTGTGTGAAATTAAGATTTTAAAGCTCCAATTTAATGTATGTGTTATCAATAAATGCATATTATTTTCACAAATTAATAATTTTAGAAATTGATATTATAAAATTAATTTGATATTGTAAATTAATTTGATATTTATTAAATTTACTTTTACTTTTAATTGTAAATTATAAATCTTTATTGATTGCGGATCTAAATTTTAAATAATAAATTTCTTTAACAGATATTTTGTGAGAAAAAGATATAAAATCATTATAATTCAAAAGATTCTCAAAAATATGCAAAGTAATTTTTCCAATATCAGCCTAGAAAATCATTTAGCTTGTTGAATTAATTTTGCAAGACGAGTAAATAATTGCATGTACATTTGTTATACAATTTGAAGAACAATGCGCAAAATAATGCCAATTATTATGTCATTCCAAAATAGCTTATATTTTTAATAAAAGCTCATATTTTTAAAACAAGTAAATAAATTTACAGAATTGTTTGATGTGGCTACATATATCCAGTATACCACTGTTTTTATTAGATGAAAGGTAAAGCAATTCAATTACAAATAATCTGGTGCTGCTTTCTGTTGAAGTCTGATCTAAATTAGACAACAGCAGAAATATATTTCATTTTTTTACTTGAGAAATATATTTAACAATATTTAAAAATATGTGTGTGTAATTATTAAAATATAGATTGTAAATATTTCTAATAATTTGTTTCTGTTCTCTTTAGAGATATCAATTTAAAAATATTTCTAATGCACACATATAGAATATTGTTACAAATATAAAATCTTTTTATACCGAAATAAATTTAATATTTATTTAACATTTATATATTTCTTTTGAATTTGTTTAAAATCGAGAAGTAAAAGCCTGACTTACCATATGCCAATCCATTCTCCATTTCTACTATTCCTGCACTATCCGGTGCTGCAATCGATGATTTTAACAGTGCTGCGAATCCAAACAGAAGAGCAATCTGTGTATGGAAAATATATAATAATTTGAAAAGAAAAAGAAGACTGAGAGATGTCATATCCGCTTTTAAGCGTATAATAAATCAATAATTTAAACTACTTCTCTAAATTAATTTAATATTTCGCGTATATGTATAACTATAATATATAAAATTTTGCAACGAATTAATAATAATAGCACGTTCAATCTTTGCAACATATGGCACATTAATTTTTACATGTTTTGGTTCATTACCATTTGCGCAATGAATTCGAAACAAAATAATGAGGCGAGAAGCTTCGTCAAATTCCTTTTTTAAACGCGATTGGTTTTATAAGTACATTAAGAAATAATTTGATATGATTAATACTTAATTTCACATATGATAAATACTACGTAAAATTACGTCGCGACGATAGATCTCAAAAACCATATTTAGTGATGTGTAAAATTTAATCAAGAATTAAAGTGATAGGAATCTAAGATAATAAATAATCAATTTGTTGCGAGCTTTACGTGGAAATAACTATTATTTTAATGATACTTAGACTCAAATGTATTTCATTCGTGTTACTTTAGCGTTCTACTTGATAATTTAAATATAATTTGGATTATGAGAGAACGCACAATAAAACAATTGAATTATATATGCAAATAATTAGTGTAACGAAAGGTTTCGTGATGAATTTTTTAATAAATAATCAATTTTAATCAGCAAATTAAAATATTTTTATAATTTAATATTCCGCGTTAATGTATATTTTATAATATATAAAATATTTCGGTAACGTATTATCGATAACATGATTGACTTTGGCTATATAAATAGTAGCACGCTATACGTTACCGCTTTGTCATCATTCGCACGGTGACTATCATCATATTACTTGTTATTTATTTACATTCTTGCCTTCTGTTAAATTAACATTAAAATTAAAGTGGATAAATTGGGACATGTGAAATATGTTAAATCTAACACAAAATTTTTTACTGTGTAGAATCACAAATATATTTCATCCGTGTTACTTTATCGTTCTCGACAATCTGAATATAATTTGGATTATGAGAAAACACTAAAACAATCGAATTATAAATGCAAATAATCAGCATAACAAAAGGCTCCGTAAATTGTTTAATAAATAATTAATTTTAATAAATAATCAATAAATTAAAATATTTTCATAATTTAATATTCTGCGTTAATGTATATTTTATAATATATAAAATATTTCGGCAACGAATTATCGATAACACGACGTACAACTTTGGCAATATAAAATATAAACAGTAGCGCGCTATACGGTGCCGCTTTGTCATCATTCGTACGGTGACTCTCGAGTAATAAAGTAGTGGTAAGAAACGTTTTGTATATTATAATTTTTTTACTAAACTTGATGATAATTAGTATGGAAACATAATTTACTATAAATTTTAATAAAAATTACTTACTAAACTAAAAATTAATTAGCAACATGAAACAATATAGCAACGATCGAAATCTTTATCAAATCGCAATCATTGATTACTGCGATTAAAAATTGAAGCAGGTTATACATAAAAGTGTATAAAAGATTATGTTGTGACATTTCGATCATCAATCCTTATTATAATATTTCTTTATGATATTAGAATATAATATTAGAATATAATATTAGAATTAAATATATTTTGACTAATGCATTAAATTTTCCCAATCTTTGTTAATTAAATACACAATTTAATTGAAAATTGATTAAATTATAGGGATACAAAATATTAAATAATCATTTCGATAATTGCGATTTTTACAAACAATAATTATTATTTTAATATTTAGAAATACAAATATATTTATACGTTACATTATCGTTCTACTTGATAATCTAAATATAATTTGGGATGTGAGTGAACACGAAGTAAAACAATCGATTTATAGAAGCAAATAATTAGCATAACAAAAGACTGCGTGAAGTGAATGATAAATAATTAATTTTAACCAATAAATTAAATACTTTCATAATTTAATATTATACGTTAATGTATATTTTATAATATATGAAATATTTCGGTAACGAATTATCGATAACAATGTTTGATTTTGGCAATATAAAATATAAACAGTAGCGCGCTATACAGTGCCGCTTTGTCATCATTCGTACGGTGACTCTCGAGTAATAAAGTAGTGGTAAGAAACGCTTTGCATATTGTAATTTTTTTACTAAACATGATTACAATTAGTATAGAAACATAATTTACTATAAATTTTAATAAAAATTAATTAATTAAAAATTAATTAGCGATATGAAACAGTATCGCAACGATAAATCTTTATCAAATCGCAATCATTGATTACCGCTATTGAAAATTGAAACAGGTTTTACATAAAAGAGGATAAAAGATTACGTTGTGATATTTCGATCATCGATACTTATTACAATATGTCTCTATAATATTAGAGTATAATATTAGAATTAAATATATTTCGATTAAATGTTTTAAGTTTTCTCAATCTTTCTAAATACACAATTTAATCGAAAATCGATGTAATTATAGGGATACAAAATATTAAATAATAATTTCGATAATTGCGATTTTTACAGACAATAATTATTATTTTAATATTTAGAATTACAAATATATTTCATACGTTTCTTTATCGTTCTGATAATCTAAATATAATTTGAGATGTGAGTGAACACGAAGTAAAACAATCGATTTATAGAAGCAAATAATTAGCATAAAAAAAGACTGCGTGAATTGAACGATAAATAATTAATTTTAATCATTAAATTAAATACTTTCATAATTTAATATTTTACGTTAATGTATATTTTATAATATATAAAATATTTCGGTAACGAATTATCGATAACGATGTTTGATTTTGGCAATATAAAATATAAACAGTAGCGCGCTATACGGTGCCGCTTTGTCATCATTCGTACGGTGACTCTCGAGTAATAAAGTAGTGGTAAGAAACGCTTTGCATATTGTAATTTTTTTACTAAACATGATTACAATTAGTATAGAAACATAATTTACTACAAATTTTAATAAAAATTAATTAATTAAAAATTAATTAGCGACATGAAACAGTATCGCAACGATAAATCTTTATCAAATCGCAATCATTGATTACCGCGATTAAAAATTTAAACAGGTTATACATAAAAGAGGATAAAAGATTATGTTGTGATATTTCGATCATCGATACTTATTACAATATTTCTCTATAATATTAGAGTATAATATTAGAATTAAATATATTTCGATTCAATGCTTTAAGTTTTCTCAATCTTTCTAAATACACAATTTAATCGAAAATCGATGAAATTATAGAGATACAAAATATTAAATAATCATTTCGATAATTGCGATTTTTACAGACAATAATTATTATTTTAATATTTAGAATTACAAATATATTTCATACGTTTCTTTATCGTTCTGATAATCTAAATATAATTTGAGATGTGAGTGAACACGAAGTAAAACAATCGATTTATAGAAGCAAATAATTAGCATAAAAAAAGACTGCGTGAATTGAATGATAAATAATTAATTTTAATCATTAAATTAAATACTTTCATAATTTAATATTTTACGTTAATGTATATTTTATAATATATAAAATATTTCGGTAACGAATTATCGATAACGATTGATTTTGGCAATATAAAATATAAACAGTAGCGCGCTATACGGTGCCGCTTTGTCATCATTCGTACGGTGACTCTCGAGTAATAAAGTAGTGGTAAGAAACGCTTTGCATATTGTAATTTTTTTACTAAACATGATTACAATTAGTATAGAAACATAATTTACTATAAATTTTAATAAAAATTAATTAATTAAAAATTAATTAGCGATATGAAACAGTATCGCAACGATAAATCTTTATCAAATCGCAATCATTGATTACCGCTATTGAAAATTGAAACAGGTTTTACATAAAAGAGGATAAAAGATTACGTTGTGATATTTCGATCATCGATACTTATTACAATATGTCTCTATAATATTAGAGTATAATATTAGAATTAAATATATTTCGATTAAATGTTTTAAGTTTTCTCAATCTTTCTAAATACACAATTTAATCGAAAATCGATGTAATTATAGGGATACAAAATATTAAATAATAATTTCGATAATTGCGATTTTTACAGACAATAATTATTATTTTAATATTTAGAATTACAAATATATTTCATACGTTTCTTTATCGTTCTGATAATCTAAATATAATTTGAGATGTGAGTGAACACGAAGTAAAACAATCGATTTATAGAAGCAAATAATTAGCATAAAAAAAGACTGCGTGAATTGAACGATAAATAATTAATTTTAATCATTAAATTAAATACTTTCATAATTTAATATTTTACGTTAATGTATATTTTATAATATATAAAATATTTCGGTAACGAATTATCGATAACGATGTTTGATTTTGGCAATATAAAATATAAACAGTAGCGCGCTATACGGTGCCGCTTTGTCATCATTCGTACGGTGACTCTCGAGTAATAAAGTAGTGGTAAGAAACGCTTTGCATATTGTAATTTTTTTACTAAACATGATTACAATTAGTATAGAAACATAATTTACTACAAATTTTAATAAAAATTAATTAATTAAAAATTAATTAGCGACATGAAACAGTATCGCAACGATAAATCTTTATCAAATCGCAATCATTGATTACCGCGATTAAAAATTTAAACAGGTTATACATAAAAGAGGATAAAAGATTATGTTGTGATATTTCGATCATCGATACTTATTACAATATTTCTCTATAATATTAGAGTATAATATTAGAATTAAATATATTTCGATTCAATGCTTTAAGTTTTCTCAATCTTTCTAAATACACAATTTAATCGAAAATCGATGAAATTATAGAGATACAAAATATTAAATAATCATTTCGATAATTGCGATTTTTACAGACAATAATTATTATTTTAATATTTAGAATTACAAATATATTTCATACGTTTCTTTATCGTTCTGATAATCTAAATATAATTTGAGATGTGAGTGAACAC